ACAGCAGAGGTGGGTGGAGGATGTGCAAGGGGAGGCAGGAGAGGCAGGCACATTTGTGTAACTTAGGAAAATGTGTAGTAATCTCCATCAGGGTTTTTTACTTTTTAATTTCTCTACAACTGTTTCTGTGCAGTACCTTTCCTCTATCACTGCTTTAGTTTCAGTGCCCATATCGTAAAAAGGTTCATTAAAAGAAGGCAAAAGCTGGCTCGGCACCTGTAGCTCAGCGGCTAGGGGGCTGGCGAGTTCAGGCCTGCTAAACAATGACAACTACAAAATAATAGCCGGGCGTTGTGGTGGGCGCCTGTAGTCCCAGCTACTTGGGGAGGCTGAGGCAAGAGAATCGCTTAAGCCCAAGAGTTTGAGGTTGCTGTGAGCTGTAATGCCATGGCACTCTACCCAGGGCAACAAAGTGAGACTCTGTCTCAAAGAAAAAAGTAGTTAACAGCAGTCTTCAATAATCTGACTTTTTCTGCCATATTATCTAATATCAGTTTGTTTTCTGGCACTGCTTCTTTTACATCTTCTTTCTCATTGTCTGTCACTGGTTTCGAGATACTCATCTCCATCAAGTTGTCTTCTGTTAATCCCATGAGTGTCTATTAGCTCTTAAATTTCTCCAAGATTTATATCTTAAAATCCTTCATATCTCACCTTTTTTGCCGTATCCACAATGTCTTTCATAATTTTCTTGATTGGCTTTATTGTAAATCCTGTGAAGTCATGTCACCATCTGGACATAGTTTTCTTCATCAGTAATTTATTGTTTCAGACTCATTGGCCTTTGCAGCTTTTTCTATAACAGAAACTTTCAAACTTTCATGATGTTCTCTCTATTAGGGTTCTATTCCATAGCATCAACAGCCCTATCCATAGAGTGCTATGTGTAAAGAGCCTTAACACCCTAGAGGCTGAGTTAGAGACATTGTGTTAGGATGCTGAACTCATGGGGTTCTAGGTGGCCAGGGGTGTTGCTCAATAATAAAAGAACTTTAAAAGGCAGTCCATTACTGGCAAGGTATTCCCTGACTCAGAGATAAAGCACTAGGGGAACCAATTCATAAGAGGGGTTGTCATTCGACCATTCTTGTTGAACAGCCAAAGATTGGCAGCTGTTATCTATCTTTTGCCTTCAAGGCTTAGGGGTTAGCAGCTTTATAGATAAGAACAGTCCTGATCATAAATCTGACTGCATTTGTACAAAACAATAGACTTAGCCTATCCCTTTCTGCCTTAAATCCTGTACTCACTTTTCTTTCTTGTAGAATTTCTTTCCAGAATAGGGGAGTCCATATTCATCTTCATTAAAAACCTGTTCAGACAGATATCCTTTTTCAGTGTTTTTCTTAATGGCATCTGGGAACTTGTCTGATGCCTCTTGGTTGATAGAAACTGCTTCTCCTATTATCTTGACATTTTAAAAACCAAACCTCCTTCTAAAATTATCAAACCATCCTTTGCTGGCATTAAATTCTCCAGCATTAGCTCCTTCACCTTCCTGCTGCTTTCAGTTGTCGTATAATGTCTTCACCTTTTTTTTTTTTAAATCATATTAGAGTTTGTAGGTATGCCTTTCCTATAGCAATCCAGCACCCACATAAAAGCTGCATTTTCAATTCAAGATTAAAAAGCATAGTATTTTGTAAAAAATACAAGGTTGCCTGTTGGAGTAGCTGCAGTGACAGTTTTTTTTTT